TTGCTTAGTCTATAGATGGCTTTATATTCTCTGGGTATTTTTTGGAAATAAGTTATGCAGCTCCACTTGCTCTATATGTGCCAGTAGTTACAGAAGTTACATGTCAGATGAGCTAGCTAATGTTCAGATGAAACAGTTCTTGGCTGGGTCTACCTGAGATCTGTGTCTCTGCAGATGTCTTATTAAGGAGTTCTGACCTCTTTGCCTCATTCCTCTAGTTTAGACTATGAACACTCTTTTATAAAAAGTGAATTATTTACCAGCACTACAAAGCAAATATTATGGTTTATGAGTAAAAAATTCTCTATTTGTATTAATCACATATCTGAAAACTGAAAAGTAATGTGGATTGTGTTTCTGTGTGAATCTTTTGTGTCAGCAACCAGAAAAAAAATAAATGCTCAGAATCTGGCAATCATTTTGCAATACTTATAGTTGCCTGTTTTCAACTCACTGGGGCAAATCAATATTTGGGGAATTTCTTGACTGTCCTCTGTAGCAGAGGGAATGGAATACAAGGTGGTTTAACTTGCATTGTAAGCAATCCTAGATTTTTAAAAATAGATCAAGTGTTGTCTCCCTAATAGTTACTGGGTTGGCTGCTTCAGTCCCTTCCCAGTGAGACAGATGCTATCAGTGCTTTAAAGTCTGGTGGCTTAGCAAGAAATCAAGAGATAAATGAGTTCTCTGACCCAGAAAGTTTTAAAAATTCTTCTGACCCTTGTATCAAGAGGATCCGTTCTTGAGCCTGGAAAATGCTCTCTGCAAGGAGCTGGCAGTTTAAAAACACTGAAGCTGAACTCCTCAGGCACAGCTGCTCATTACAGGCTATTTTGTTTCACAGTCTTGCCTCTAATACAGTTCAAGTTTCATGGTAATTTCAACAAGCCCTTACAAACAGCTGCTGCATTTTAACAGAAGACTCCTGCTTTCTTATGCTGCTGAGCTTTCCCTCAGAGCGACTGACAGAATGGCTAATTAAAAAAAATAAAACAAAAACCAAAAAATACCATAACATGGTGTTTCATCATTTCATTTTCAGAATATGAATTTGGGTCCAGTCTAAGATAATTGAACTTCCTCTTATGACACTGGGATTGACAGTATTTATAGCAACCTAATTTAAGTTTTCCCTTCCCCAAATGGATATGCTGTTAATGCTAAGTTTAAAGAAGTACTTGGATCTCCCACCAGGCTCAGTTTTCTAGTCTAGAAGACTGTTGTAAGTGGTTTTCAGGAAGCTGCTGGAAGACAACCTTGTGCCTCAATAATAAGTTTGCTTATGTTCAACTGCTCATGGAATTTCAGTCTACTGGCAGAAATTAATGCCTGCTGTAGGACTGTGGATTTGTGAAAATAAAAGTTATTTTTAGGTGCTTCTCATGGCTGTGCTCTGAATAACAGGGAAGATTCTTGCACCTTATGATTATGAACATCCCCTCACTATTCATGTCCACCTCTGTCCTCCCAAAACTTCATTAAAAAAGACTTAGGCTTCCTTGGTATATGTGTTTTCAGATTCCATGTTTTATTCTCGTCTTTCATTGCACACAACAAAAAACCTGCCTATAGGTATGAGAAAAGATAAAACAATACTTGGTCAACAGGATTTCCTGTCATAGGTTGAAGACAGTTCAGAAGATGGTCACAGTACCATCATTTGCATTATTTTAATGAGCCTCTTTATCTCCCTTATCTTTTCAACAACCCTTTGCCTTCCAGCTGTGACCATAGTTTCAGACAAATAAGTCATACTGACATTTGATGACCTCAATCATACAACAGGAGATTTTCATGGACTCTTCCCAAGCCTATAAAAGTAGGCACTACATTTTATACAGTAGTAAAACAAAATAATTCCAGATTGTTCAGTATTTTGTGGGCAAAAAGGCAGAATTTTATTTAAAAAATGAAATCTTTACAACTCCTCAGTTTTCTGACTGAAGCAGCAGTCATGCTGTTTTATTCAATTTTCTTGAGTGTGTCTACATTTAAAAAGGAGACCAAAATGGTTGCTATCAATGGTTTAATGGTAACCAGAGAAATCTTGATACTCCAGAAAATTTCACCTAACTGTTCTGCCAAATGGTCCTTATTTCTACTTCTGTGGCTTTTCAGGGAAAATATGCTGAGAGCTGAAGCCAAAACAAAACTTGAAGGTTTTGTCTAAGCTTCATGTCATGGCCAGAGGTAAAGGATCAAGATGTGTATTACTCACTCCTGAGGTCTGTTATTTAGTAGAATTCTTTGTTGTTGATGTGAAGGCTGCAGCTTACACCAGTACAAGGCAGTTCACCCATGTGGGAGCCATGTTAATTAGATAATCCAAGCACCAGAATCTGTGTTGCTCAACAAGAGTATCTGCTGAAATCCCACATCTGTGGAGAACTGCTGCAGCTTCCTGTAAGTGCAGATCATTTCAAAGCCACTGCTGTCATCCAAGACAAAAAAATCCAGTTACATGCTTCATTTGTCCCTCCCACACACCCAGCTGTTGTTGGGCACATGTCTCTAAGTGTACACTGTATTCCTGCAGACTGCTGAACATTGTCCTTCTGACAGCAATAGGTCTAAACCAAAGCCCTTACTCACATCAGCCTCTGATCAGATCTCTAAAGCAGCAAGATAGAATTGCATAGGGCTGAGACTATATTTCTGCTTTCTGCTAAGAAAGAATGGACTCAATATGCATCTCCTATTCTAGCTGCCTGCTGTGAAGCTGTGGAAGTCTTAATGCTTCACAAAGATCCTCCACTATTTAGTGGTATGAGGGGAAAACATTTTAAAAATTCTAGTTAATGCCAGAAGACAGCTCCCAAAGGAACTCCGTGCCAGCGCAGCCAGAAATAAATTTTTCTTCCAGTGTCATCATGGTGAGAAATATCATTGCCCAAAAAAGTTTAGATTAAGTTAGTTATTTGTTTAAGAAGATAGAATAGCATTCACTAAAAAGTTTATATTTTAAAAGACATGATCTTTGCACTGGTGTAAGAAATATAATATTTCTGACCCATGCTTTTTGAGGTGCAATTTCAGAATTGTAGTGTTAAAATGAATCTCCTTTGGTTTTGCTCTCCTCCTTTTCCCTACCTCTTCCTTCTCCAAGGTCTCATATGTAAAAGCATCCAGTTACCTTTTTCTTCATTTTCTCATATAGGAAGCACAGAGAAAAAAGGAAGACCTCCTTAAAGACTTTGGTCCATATCTCTTCTGAAGCAAAGTATTTAGGAACTAAAAATACACTGCTTTTAATTTTAAATTGGGATTCACTTAAGTTTAAAATAAGTTTTTGGTTGAATTCACACAATTTTGAAAGAAGTAAGTCTGTGATACCATATTCTATACTGGTGTCAGCAGAAGCTGAGTGACTCTAAAGATATGTGATACTGGCTGAAGCTGCCTGTGACACCAATATACCAGGGGGGAGGAGGGCACAAGGGAAGCAAGCACACTTGTTCCATGTTTTGTTTGCTATCACTGGATCTTCACATTAATTGTTGGTTGTAGTTAGCCTTGCAACTTGCTCTCCAATTGCCAAAGTAATGCTTCATATGAGAAGTAGAGGGCTGCTCTCCACAAAGGAGACTGCAGTTGATATTTGTTTTGCAGTATGACACTTGAATTTTCTTTGCAATAGGATACTTATCTTTACTTATCATGTGCTTAATATTAACTACATATTTTCCTTTTAGCATTAACGTACTTAAGAAAAAGGGTTTAATCAGCAACATAAATGGATTAGATTATCCCATCCTAGCTTTAAATCACATTTGACAGAAACTTTATATCACTGTCAGAGAGTACAATAATTATGGCAGAAGTATTTATTTTCATATCTAATTTCACCTTATCACTAAGGTCTGATTTCTTCCTTTTGTTTTCTGTTACTCTTCACTCAGATGTTTACCTCCAAGATTCATTGAAGTGACTGGAAAGATAGGTGATCTTTCCTCTTCCTGCAACTAGTCCTGATAGCAGACTGAAGAAAGCTTCCATTTCAATGGAAGACAATGCAAGACAATGTCTGTCTTCCTTATGAATTGTACTACTAAGCAACCCTGCCTCTTGCAATGCTGGATGTTCTAGGTATGTTTTAGAGGAAAAAGAAACCAACAAACCACCATCCACTTTATCCTTTCCTATTTTCTTTACTACATCTCTATGAAATGAGATGCATACAGTGCCTCAAATAAAATGTAACATATTTAAGAGAATGGAGACTCAGTATCTGCAAACACAGTAGCAGATGATACAATTACGGTTCAATTTTAATTTTTTGGGTGGTGCAGTCCATTATGTTGAAGCTGATAAAACTGGACAATGGTATTTTTATTTACATGATAGGCAACAGTTACACTTGTTCCCAAAACAAATATATTAATTAGTTTAAATGGACAGTATGTTCAGAATTCAAGGGGGCATGCTGTTGTTCAGGGAAGCAAAGTACTTTAGAAATATTATGATATGTAAAGTATCAGGAAATTTGATTGAAGCTAATGCATTCTCAAAGCTCTACAACTTGGCTGGTTATTTCTGTACTGGCATAAGGATTTAGGAACTATATCTGGAGTCATTTAAGGCCAGCATAAAGAAGTCAGTATTTCTCCTCAAACTTACACCAAGAAATGTGTCATGACATAACTGTATAAAAAGACTAATACTAAGTCCTCCTTACAGCATTAAAACTTTGAAATTGATTTACTGTGTATAGGAAAATCAAGCAAGGTGTGCTCTATATTCACCAAGAATTTGATATATATATTGGCATCTCTCTAAAATTATTTTTCACATACCACCATCCAATCAAAATTTTTTTTTTTCAATCCATGGAAATAAAAGCTGGACAGATGTTAAGATTTAATGAACTGGGCTCTTTAGTAAAAGCTTTTGCAGAAAGAAAGTCCAAAAGAGGAAATCTGATAACTAATGTGCCAAAGTAATATTTACAAGGCTTTTATTTCCAGTGAAGAAAGAATGCTAACTGTTTTTTGGGAGATTAATTTTGGTTTTATTTCCTGCATGTATGAATGTAATGTACATCCTGTGGCTTGGAGTAACACATAATTAGTGACTAAGAACTGTGGACTTACTCAGCAAAATAGTAAATTATGGGCATGACTGCCAAGATGTGCAAAAAGTTTTGAGAATTAGTAGTAGTACCTGTACATTTTTTTCAGTTATGTGTGTGCAATAAAATATCTGAATACATAGTTATTAAATACATGTTTATTTAATATAAGTGTCTAGGAGGGAACTACTGTGGTGTGGGCTTTCTTCTCCTATGAAAGCACAATTTTGAGGTATCTGGTAGAGTGGGGATGAAGGAAGAAGAAATGAAAATCTTTGTCATTGTTGTTGTCATGCTAAAGACAACTGCAAAATTTATATTGATTTCATTACCTAGACTTCATGTCTTCTGTGATTCTGTGATCTCTAGGCAGGATGGGCTGAAGTGTCATGCCATACCAGTGTATATACACACACTGAAAATTGAATGGATAACTAATATCACATTATATGGTGAAGAAATCAAAGAATCATCTGGGCTGAAAGGAAAAAGTATGCTTCTTTATGTGTACATGAATAAATGTATTTGCTTCTGTATTTATGTGGCTATGTAGCTGTGGCCTGAACAGCTGTATTTTCAGGTAGTCAGGGTCTGATGTATTCCAGATACTTTGGACTCCAGCTCCCAAGGAGCTGACAGCACTTTCTAAGTAGTCATGCAGTTAATGCATAAAGCATATATTAGAAGATATAGGCAAACATTTTATTTTTTTAACTCCTATAACTGCACCCACCAACTTCTTCTGAAAGGTGAGTATGCACATCTTCACCACAGGTCAGCCAGGAGATTTAATTAGCAAATACCTGTGTATGGAAGGAGCCTTGTGGAGATATCCATCTTAGGATTCTTTGCAGTCATAGGGGAACCAGATTTTGTTACTCTACCATTAACTGCAACAGCAAACTAGCTAGCTAGTTTTGGTAGAGATTGCTACCAATCTCCACCAAAGCACTTACACACTGTGTACAGTATATAAAGTTATTTGACCTGTGTTCTTGAATCAGGGAGGCATGCAGGGTTATAAAATTAATCAGTCCCTCCTCTCTTCTTGAAAGTGTTACCTAATTTCAGAAACAAAACCCTAATGTTGTAGTAGAAAATTAAAACTAAATATTTTTTAAAAACTTCTAGGATCTTAAGAGCCGGAGAAAGAGAGGATCTATTACTACAATGCTTGTGGAAGAGCCATTTCAGTGGCAACACCCTTGCAAGAGCTGGATCCACAGACAGTTTCTGTTGGGCAACCAATTTTATGGCTTCTCCACTCAAGGGAATGCTTATCTGTCAGTATTTGTGAATTATGTGGAACATGTTGAGTGATATGTTTGGAGAAAGGTGGATAGGTTTGAGTTTGGGGTTTTGTTGTTTTTTTAAGTAGTTTTGTAGAGGATTTGGGATCTTTCCTTGCTCTCTCTCTCACTTTTTCTCTCTCTCTCTCTCTCTTTTTTTTATTTTTCTATAAGAAGACAGTGGGATCATCCTGACTCTTTTGGAATCTTGCACCAACTTTCTTGCAAAGACTTTTAGACCAAAAGTTGTAACAACTTTTTTTTTGTTTGTAGCAACCAAGCTAAAAACAGGTCTCTGAAGTTTGGTAAAGTCACCAGCCATGCAGATCCAGCGAGGCATGAGCTGGAAGAGTGCTGAGGTTTAGAAGTGTTTGTCAGAGCTCCCATTTGATTAATGTGACATTCTGCATCTATTCACCTGCAAGACCCAGCTATGGCCAGAAGTCCCCTTTTTGTCTCACAGCTTTACTAAAACTTACAAGTATTTGTAAGGAAGATCCAGACATCAAAAAAGGATTTTCCAATATTATTCTGTCTAAATGGTAACATACTTTAATCAACATGGATTCCTCTCTTTCCTTTTCCAATTTCATCTGTTGCTACAAGCATTTTTGTATTTGCCTCTGTGGAATTCTCCGCAGAAGTTTGCCACATGTTTGGTCTCTGGCTGCCTTCTCTCAGGGGGAAAAACTGTGCATGACTCTAAGGACAGAAGTTCTTCAGTGAGAGTTCCAAAGCAAATACAGAAATTGCAGAAACTCTCAGGAATTTAGGAACAGAAGAAAAATAGCAAAGATTAAATATTCAAATAAATTAATTTTAGAAATACATTATTTGCATCTTAAATCTTGTAAAAAAGTTGTCTACAGCATTAGTTTTTTATTTAGCTTTCTTAATGCTAGATAGAGAACAGCCTTCAAATTTTTATGGTCTTTGGTACACATCCAGGTCAGTTGCTGTGACCAAGGAAGTTATATTGGATGTATAGAGACACTTCAAACCTTCAAACCAACATAATAAGGAAAGGGAAAGGAAGACTACTTAACGAGGAGCATAGAAATCCAGAGTCTTAATAAAAGTTTTCATATTTTTTGCACGATAACTTTATAGAGCTGCAAAGGTTAATTTGAACAAAAGATATCATGGGCCAAAGGCACTATCTCAATACAGAGTAAAAATGTACTAATAAAATTAATACTATGACATATCAACCTTTTTTAACTAAAATACCCCACCCAACTCAACTCATCCTCCCCACAAAAAAAAACCTCAACCCTGAAAAAAAAACAAGAAAGAAAGGCAGGAACTGTTGTGACGAAAGCTTTGGTTATATGAGACTTGTGCACTTCCTTGCTTATCCTGTGTGACCCTGACTGCCAAGGTTGTGTCAAGGATTTGCAGGCAATGTATCTGAAAGGTGATGTCTTTTTGAAATGTGATATGCAGATCCTGCATGCTTAGCAGAGAGCTGCCAGAAGATTGCTGGTAGAAGTACTGGTAGGGCAGCAGGTGGCCCGTGAGCTTAGGTGTCCAGTCTAGATTGAAACCTTGAAATTCCATGATAGTTTCTCATGGGTGAGTTTCCCCCATGCTTTTAAACTTGCATAGACTGAAATGCATTTGAGAGAGAGTAGGAATTGTCTCACTGTGTTCAGTGACACCCTAAACGCAAGACAGCCCCACTCATTTCTAACCAGAGTAAACTTATGTTATTGTCATTACAGATCTACAATACTCCTAATAAAGAAATAAAGTAAATATAGAGAAGAATGTACTGCACCTATTGATTTCAATAGCCTGTTGCTTTATTATGCTGCTTTCTGTTTAATTCTGTGATGGATGTCACACAGTTTGAAGCAGAGTGACCAAGGTAACTGCAAGATGAACATATTTGTGTAAACAAATGTGATTTTGTATACCTCAAACAAAATCTGGAGAAGTACTCTTCTGTTACTGAAGTGAAGGAAAAGACCTAATAATGTATAAACATCTTACATTAAGTGAAGAAAAAATATATTAAGGGGAAAAAGTAAGTTGCACTTAAATATCAGAAAGCAAAAGCACAGAACTTGATAGGACAACTGGTGAAACTGCTTATTTTTAATTCTGACTCCTTATGGGATTAGTCTCCCAAGTGCCAAATTATTCCATTATTTCTGGAAAAAAAATTTTTGTTCATTCTTTCTGTTCTAGAAGAACTTTTAAAGTAATTATTTTTTCTTTCTTCTTTTAAAAGTGCTGTAGGCTATTTTTTTAACACCTCTTTCTTTCCCACTAAACCAGACTAGGGACAGGATGAGCCAAGGACTAACTTCACAAGAGGTATTTAACAACAGCATTAGTTCTCAAACACTGTCTGGCACTTGCATCATTGACCTGCTCTCTGTCTGGTTTGCTTTCAAACCCCACCAGAAACAGCTTCATGTTTTCTTGGCTATGTTACACTTGCACAGTGTTGCCCGATAGCAGAAGTTCAGACTGTCTCTGCCTCACAGAGGAAGAAGCTAAGCACCAAGCTGCCCGGGGTCCTTCCCAGACAATAAGACAAGAAAGAGGCTGTAGGAAAGTACCTGCTTACTACTTCCAACAAGGATCTGAGCCCAGTTTTCCTGCTTTCTCAAGGAGAGCATCCTGTCACTGAAAGAATGAAGTTGATGAATGGGGAGCTATTATTGCATGTACCTGGAAAGGAGGAGAAGAAATCTGCTTACTGGTGCTTGCTCCAAGTGTCTTTATACTTCAGTCCTTTGAGGACACAGAGAAAATTAGGCAGCTAAACCTTCCAGAAACAAAAAGTATCTTTTTCCTACAAATGTCATTGCTACCCTGCTTTGGCGTTAATTCAAATGTACCTCCCCCCTCACCTGCCTGAAAATAAAAGGAAATATCTATTTACAGGTGTGGGTGATGTACATCCATGCCTGATGGTTTAGAAATCAAATCTCAGTGAAAAGAGTGGTATTTCCTACAAATTACTTTGGATAAATAACTTCATTGTTCTCAGAGACTTCCATTCCATATGAGACTTATCTAGCAGAAATGCCAGGGCTTACCAAATAAAAATTTATTTCTATCATGATTTTCTGACAGTCATCTTGGAAGTTATTTGGAAGAATAACACACATGCAGGGAAGCTTCTGGCTCTCTTTAAGTGAATTAAACAGAGTTGTGGGAAAATGTTTCTTCATTCACAAAATCAAATCACCACACTCTTTTCTGGGCACATTTGTGCAGCTGCTTTGTACCCAGCCGTGTTGCTCAGCCTTTTGCATTTCTCATGCACTCAGCTGAGCTGAGCCAGAACTGTTCAAGAAACTGTGAAACTTGAGAAGTGTGAGGTGTGCTACTGTGTAGCTCCTTGCAGAGCAAATCGCATGAGTCACAGAGAGCAGAACTTCATACCCTGAATTGTGCATTCAAATACCACCATGAGTCTCTGGCCATTTCATACACACATAAGAAATATTTTCTCCAATGATTTTTTTTTTTTTTTTGTAGTCCATTATGAATCATGTATACTACAGCTGCAGATCTCTGAGCAGAAAGCTGATGGAGAAGTAGAGGTTCATGAGCAAAATGTTGGCAGCAAAGAGATGCCTTTATGCTGCTACACGACACCAGACTCTTGCACTGTCTGCAAATATGGCCTATTTCCTCTCCACAGCAGATGTGGGCATAGTCTTCAAGGGACAACCAAGATCTATCCATAGACCACTATTAGAGGGGCTGAGGATCACACCCTCTCTGTCCTATTTTTGCCTCTCTGGAATTCATTGCAAAAATTATTTGAAAATCCTACCTGCTTTTTTGCCCATCTCTCTTCTGTTTCCCTTCAACTGAAGAGTATCTGTAATTCTGGAAATGCATATAGATTCATGCTGCTCTATTACAGTAATTGCTTCAAACTGAACATAAGTACAACTGAATTAATAAATGCATTTTAAAGGCTAGATAAAACAGGGTAGAAAGGCAGGAAGTATAACCCTGAATATATAAGCTCTGGAAAAGCAATATATTTCTTATGTTCAATTTTTGTTTTCATTTTATGAACCTGAAAACTGAAAAAAATATGACCCAAATTCCTGCCACTGTGCTATTGATAACTGAACATCTTCCTCTGTGTGTAGATTGCAACTAAAAAGTCTGAACGGAAAGAAACTCTTGCAGCTGTTCTTCCATTATTTTCCAAAGTAGCTTGGGAAATCATCAAGGAGCTTCTTCTATGCATACCTGACTGGGGGTGATGTCCTGAGCTCAGTGGAAGGAGTTACAGTACAACTGACCATGTGAATTCAACAGGCAGAGATATTTTCTGTCAGGTCTGCAGAACTGGCTGGGCAGCAGTGCCAGCTGAGCAGCCTCAGGTCAATGCAAGGGTACTGAGCTCTGCAGAAAGAAGTGCTTTCAAGCATGTTGAAACTACTGGAATTGTGATGTGTTTGATCCACCATTATTAGCCACAGTGACTGAAAACTCTGTTTCAAAGAAAGGCAGCAAAACTAGGTGGTTTGATAGCACATTTCAGCCTTGGGACTGTTTTCTGAACTTGCATGGTTAGGAGTCAATCTACAAGACTTTTGTCTCATAACCATGCAGCACAAGTGAGACTGAACTCCAGCCAACACAGACTGGACTAATTGACATCTCTTCTTTTGCTATTTTGTCCCTATTTTTTTAAAAGTAGATTTAATTTTAACTATGGAGAAGCCAAGATTCCAAATCTCATTGCCAAACCAGAACACTTTTCTAATGTTTATGCCCCTTGAATCCTGATAACTGATGCTGGTGGAGTGTTGTTGGTTTCTATCTTGAAATCAGTTCATTGTCATACAGAATCCTGCTGAGTGGCACAGCATTGTCCTTGCCCACAGTGGAGAAGCAGACCCTGTGGTTTCTTCACAGTAGTAGCATAGCCTGTCACAATGAGTGACATCACATTTCAGATGTGGTAAGAAAAGCATTTTTAAGTCTATTAGACCATTTAAGAAACAGAAGAATGTAGTGATACAGTGGTGTGGGGGGAAGAACAGAGGTTATACTCTGCTGCCCCATTGAGGGGCCATGGCCACCTTCAGGCTGGGTGTTGCTATCTGCTCTCTCCAGTGACAGGCACTGGGCCAGTGGCCTCTCAGGTGCCCCAGGGCCACCTCCTTTCACATCAGCCTGGGCAACTTTGTACCAGGGATACTGACAGAGGCAACAACAATTCTCAGTGCTCAGCAGTTGCTGGAGGAATAAACAGAACAAAAGGTTTGAGAGTGTGCTGCAACAACAGAGGGAGTGGCATGCACCCTTCAGAGGCCTCTTATCCAAAATGCATTCATTTGTGCTAAGTGTTAGGATAAAAAAAACCCAAACAAACTGGAGCTCTAATCGTTACTATTATTCTACCTAGGGTGCCATACTATTTGAAACTGCAGGTTAAATTAAACAGTGGTTCCAAGAAAGATTTCTTGTTCTCCTACATGCATATATGCTCATGTGATTATCATTCTAACTCCTCCATCAGGAAAATTGATCTGGCACATTTCATTTTGTGAAGATTTGTGGTACTGAGCACAAACACAGTGATGTTTTGTAAGTTCCAAACTATTCCTGAGATACATATTTTTTTTAAAATTTTGCTCAAAACCACTTGAAACCTCATGTCTTGCAATTTATATTAGCTGATGGAGGCTAGAGGCCTTGTAAGAGAATAGTCTAGCACAATGTCTTTCAGATCTACACATTTCTATTAGAGTTTGGAGTTCTTTGTTAAAAAAAAAAATTCCTGCTTTATTTTTGTGTAACGATCAGTCTTCATATTACTCACATTTGGAGACCCTCTCCATATAAGGCTATAAGCTGGTATTGAACACTTACAGTGTACCCCTATAATTCATTGTCAGGAAATATAATTGCACAGTCTCTCATATTTCATTGATCCTCATGAAATTCATATATGGAATGAGGCTTCACTTAAACCTTTTCTAAGCTCTGAATCAAACATTTTAATTCTATTATTATTCCTGGTGCTATATGATGGTTGGTCATTTATCTGGACTGAAAATGCTTTTTTGTTCAGAGACCTACTTTGCTGTAATCCACATAGGAAAATATGCATGTCCTTTTTGGACTCAGGTACTTTGAAATTCAGGTTAGAAAGGGAACAGTAGGTCAGAATAGGAATAGTCTTAAAGTAAAACCTTTTAATCTAACTAAAAGCTTGTGGCTCACTTCATGTATAATTGAAAACAGTATAGGTTCTCCTAAATATTTGAAGACACTAATGGATTTAAGTGAATCTAAATGAAAGGGAAGTCAGCACAAAGCTTCAGTTCTCCATCTAATTTTGTTACTTGCCATGCTAGTTCGCAACAGGATCAAGACTGTGGCTAATGTTTTTCCTGTTTTTCCTTTCACTGACACTGTGTTGCATATCCTTCAATGTGCAGAAAAGTTTCGCAATCCTCTGCAAAGGAATCTTCTTCACATAAAGGTCTGAAATTTATTTATCTAATAGATCTTCAACTATATCACTGTAACAAAATCTAATACATGGCAGTATGGTGATGCTAATTCTGGTAACTGCCTCCATTTTAGGATGTCTACATACCCTAGTCCAGACCATGCTGCCACCTGCTCCAGCCATGTGCTGTACTGTCCAGCTGCAATTCTTGGCAGGGAATCAAGTGTCTGCATTGGACTTGATGCTGTGCTAAGCTGTAAGTCTTGAGTAGAGTTGCATAAATTATCACAATCGTCCTTTCGTATTTATTATGGTCATCTTTCACACCGAGCTGCTCTTGAGAGATGGGATTTACTTGCTCAGTGCTGTGATAATTCCCTCTATAGTGAGAGAAACCTGCTCTTTCTGGAGCGAATAAAACCCTGTGGTTTTTGGGCCAGAACTGCTGTGCAATGAGGATGCAGGCAAGTCAGAGTTAACCCTATTCACTCCTGACTGCAAAGCATCTTCTAAGTGTCTCTTTTTCTTTATTCTCTAAGTCAGAGAGAGAGGTAAGATCTTACAGGTACCCCTTAAAATGCTCAGAATAAAAAGGCTAATATACATTATAGCTTAGTTTTTGCTGAATTTGTGCCAACAGATATAGGACCACATTTGTAAGTCCTAACTGACACCTGTAGGTTAATTTTATTATGCACATATAAGGTTCTGTGGTCATTAATTTCCACACACAAGAATAGTTGCTTTGAGTGTGTGTAAGCTCAGAACTTTTCAGATATGGCAGTGCTCTTCCCAGGCTAGGGCTGGATTGGACCTGGGTAGCCAGGAGTGCTGGCTAAAATTTTTGTGTTTTTCTACCTGAGCATTTAGATATGCTGATGCAGTGGTGGAATTCTGAAAATGACATACATAAGTGTTAGCTCCTTCCTACCTTCCCCTCTATTATTTTATATTTATTATTTTATAATTATTTTGTCACCCCTTAATAATTATTAATAAAATGATAAAAAGCCTTTAAGGACTTTGATGTAAAAAATAGAATGGATACGAACAAACAGTTTGACAGATGGGGAGAACACACATTAATCAGAAAACCTTCTGTGGATAAAGCTTAGTAGAGAATTTTTCATAAGTGTTAGGGGAAAAGAGTTTACAAACAATTTAAATTTTTAGTATTGATAAGGGTTACAGATTTTATTCTGAATTTTAGACACATTGAACACCTTTTATTTTTTTATGCTTAGATATGCTCTTAATGTGTGGCATATCAGCTTGAATGTTTACATATGATCTGACATGGAAAGAGTCTTACAATTTGTAAAACAGTATACGTATCACTTATGTTTGCTCTAATGATGACAGTGATTCCAATTCAGTCTGGGTAGCTATAGTTTTGAAATAGTTCACAAGGTATGAACCTCCAGAAGGCATTTAGAGCTCCTAAGCTGGATGCCAAACTTCTAGATAGTAAATCTCTTTCCATATTAGATACATCCTTATGGAGCAACAGGAGGTAAAGAAAAGCTGAGTTGTACAAGTCTATCTGGAAAGATCTGCAGGCTTAAAATACATAATGATTTACAGAATCAAAAATTGCAGAGCACTTGCAAGCATAAAACATATTAATGTATTATTCTGATTCTGCAAAAAACATAAATGCAAGTAAAAAGTACTATTTAAATCAATGCATTTAATTTTAAGCATAGTGAACAGGTCTACTTGTGATCTTACATTTCAGTCCTCCCAAGCAAGTTATCTTTGCTTGGTGTCTTTACAAAAGCAGACTAGCAACAAGACTCCCAAGAAACTTATAAATGGAATCAGTGTCTGGAATGTAGTGAAAGGAGTTTAATAGCAACTGAAAGCAGAATTTTCCTACTGGTGAAACTAAGGCAAGAGGTGCATGAAGCTTTACAATATGGTAAATATGCCATATGCTTTGAGAAAGACTCGCCATTTGTAAACAATCTTTACAAGAAAAGTCTACATTTAAATATACAGTTTCCACGATTTGTCATAATGATATGTTTTCAGTGATTATATATGTTGACAATGATAGAGCTAAACTTTTAGAACTAAAAATTCAGTAATGGAGTTTGTGGTACTACAAAAGTCAGACAAGGGAAGACTAAAAGGAGTTTAGTGTCAAGAGTAAGAAAATCAAACCAAGAGTGCTTTGTGCTCTCCTGAATAAAAGTTTATATCAGTCCTTTCATGTATTGTATCCCCATGCAGCACCTTAGTGCTGAAATCAGATATTACAAGAAAAAATCATATGTGCTGAAAATGCAGATAAAATATCTGTAGTGATCTTGAAGGTAAATTAAGATGTAGAACTGGAGTATAACATGGTGACATAATTTGTTTTTTGCTTTAAAAAGAAGAAAGGAATCCAAAATTATTTGGCAGGTTGTTACAGAATGCTACTGATGGAAATAATTCTGATGAATCTCACCATTGCATAAAGCTGTGGCAATAATATTAGGTTCAGACTTCTGAGTCCTAGTGAGTAAAAGAAATAGAGAGGTCAAAGATTGACAGCTGCTCTTTCACAACAGAAATAGCCAGCTCAATACTTGCAGCTGGATCTTAATTAAAATTGACAGATTGACAAAAATTTTCAAAGTGGAGCTACAGTTCTTTAAAAACCCTGTTATGCAAAAAATGGGTGTTATATTAAAAAGATGTAAACAATGAAAGAGCTAGTTCAAGCTGACAGGAGAAAAAGGAATGTATTCAAGCTACAGAAAGTGTATTTCACATTCAATGTCAAGAAAAGTACTCTAAACTAAATGCAAAAAAGGAGAAAAAAGATTTCTAAAACTTGACTATTAAATTCCAATATTATTAATTACTACTGGCCTTATGACCACTCACAATCTCACCTAGTTAAGGACTGCACTAGAAAAGTATTAGGACTGTATAATATTCATATTTTCCTTTGAAAATGATCTCCATAAAATAAAAGCAGAACTGCAAATATGCATACTGTTTGTTATTTCCAGTCACAAAATACCACAGTCTGTAAATAAGGCACGCCAAAGGCATGCAACTGTCTTGCTCTAGGGGGAAAAATACTGAAGTCATCATCTTTCTCAAGGACATAAAAAGTTGGAGAAATTCTTGACCTTTTAATAAGCATGCAAGACCTCTGGATGTCACTTGTACATTCATCATTTATACATTCGTAACACCAGAAAAGGAAGATCCTCTAATTTGAATAGGCCTAAAGTGTCTGCTGTTTGATTTCAGATTATGTATTTGGTTAGGGGAATTCTGGTTGCTGGAAAGCTCTTCTGTCTTTCCCAGAAGGGCTCTGCCCTGACTTCCTGCATTACTCTTTCCTGCCTGTCCTTGCTGACCAGAAGTCACAGTGTTTCATGGAGCAATGTGCATTTCCTCAATTCCTTCAACAAGAGGTAACAAGTTGGTTACCTCTAGGCAGACAGAAAGTCAGCCATGTCTACTTTCTTAGCTACAGATATCACCCTTGGCTGTAAACTGGGGGAGGGGCAGACTGGACTGGCACATTTCATAAATAGCAAGTACTAAAAGATATCTCATAAAGTCAACTAATTTCCTGTTTATAACTAGGAATTGTTAATGCAAGTTGCATGTACTAAGCATTTAAACTTACCTAGTTTTGCTATTCTGGAACATAAACCAGGAGAAATGCCAGTCAAAACCTTTTCACCAGTGCCTACTGGTGACTATGCTTTGTGATTTGTGGGTTTTTTTTTTTTTTTTCCTTAAAAAAGTAGGAGACCTTCTTTTTATGCATGAAAATAAAGTACTATAGATACCCTACTGTTGTAACTCCAGTCTACAGCTGGCTTTTTACAGGAGATTTTGGAAATATTGCTAGAAGTGTTTTGCTAAGCTTGACTGCATAGCAGGAACCATAGGGGTTGCCCAAACATAATGTATACAGAACACTGTGCTGCCATCACACAACCAGGTGTACTGTAAGTCTGTGTGTCAGTCATTCACTCCAGAAACTCAAAGAAAGGAGTGGAGAAAGCAGCAACCTAACACTTTCAAAACCCAAATAGCATTATTAGGAGACTTCTGGGTGAAAGTGATGTTTTTGATCTGGACAAACGTACCTGGCATTTTTATGAGACTCTGAACAAGTAAACAGGACTTTGCCTGTGCTTTTTGCATGCCAGTAGCTTTACGAATAGTCAGTTTAAAAGATCATTGCTATGGGCATTGCATAAATAATTTTATATACATAAATACATATGTATATATATATTATCTATGTGTGTGTGTGTGTACCAATGCATGTTAAATAAAAGCCCTAACAATACTTTAAAAACCCATAGCTTACTCTGAGACTTATTTTCTAGGATAAACTATATTTTTAATTTATCACTTCAGAAATCAAAGCTGTTCATGACCTTTTAAAATGACTATACATATTACAGCACACTGTTTAAGATTAAGATTGGTTTTTTTCCCCCTCCACTGTAAGCAAAGTTTAGACAGTTAGCTTTCATACTTAGAAATAATTATTAAGCTTTGATTTAGTTTCTTAAAGTTCATAATTAGGTCTTTTGATTGTGATTTTTTTTTTGGTTGTATAGGTCAAAGTAATCAAGTAACTATGTGCAGAAATTAACATTATTATATTAGATTATGTATTGCAGTAGTAAAGCTTGTTTGAAGTGCATGAATAAAAAGTGAAATTACAGGAAGAACAATCTAATATAGCAATACTAGGTGCATTCACTGTGCATCTGAGAGGAGGAGGGGGGAAAAAAAGAAGAGTTTTCACTCATTTTGGCCTAAAATGTGTTCAGGTTTCCAGGATTCTGACATCAGAACCCAGATAACTCTGGCTAGAACCATAGGGCTTTACAATAAAAGCTAAAATATTGACCATATGATGGCAAAAAGTCTTTATTTTGCGGTTAACTTATTCTCTTCTAGCTACTCTCTGATGAAGTTGGTGGTGCTGTGGAGGATGATCTCCTTCTTCTTGACAAAGATCGTGATCGTTCAGCACTGTAGGCAACATGCTTATCGTAATTTTGTATCTGAGCCTCGAGGAATTCCCTCTGTTGCTGGCTGATTGTCTGGCTAATCAGTCCAGGAAGAGCTTGAATGCTACCAATTAAAGTTTCCAGTTTAGTTTCCAGAGTAACAATTCTCTTCTCAAAATCTTCACTTCTTTCATTTAAGTCAGAAATCATGTCATACATGATGTTTTGAGTCTGAAAGTAGAAGGATGTAAGTAAAGGTTTAGAGAGACCTTACACGTATTGTAACAAGTAGAACAACTCTACAAGGGTTTGTAAAATAGGATGAGTATTATAACAGTATCTAGTTTTGTGAAATAATTTTTCCTACAGATTAAATTACAGTAGACTAAACTTTCTATTAGATTTCTTGAGCAGAAACATAATGCCCTTTAGTAGCACTTTCGATGTTGAAGTTGAAATCAATTAAAGACCAGACCCTTTTAGGACATTTGGGTGCTTGGGAATGTACCAGGCCAAGCCTTTTGAGCAGTCAGGCTAAGCCAAAAGGGAACCGAAGGCTCCACTGATGTGCTCCATCCTTAAGTGTTTTTAATTCTGGTTTTAAATACCTTCATTCTTCTAAGTGGAGCACAAATGTTGTTCACTGGCTTGCTCCTTAAACTGAGTAGATTTTCTTTAATTGGCAATAAGAGGAGTTCAGTGGATTGTTTTTGAAAAGTAGTGCAAGGAGTAAAAACTCAATCGTATGCTTTTCTACTTTTGCACTCTCCAATCTATCTGGCCTCTACAAAACACTGCTGGAATACAGCAAATATATAGAGTGTACTTTAAAATGACACAATGGTCAGTGAAAATGTAATCTGAAATGTGTAATTTCATAGAGACTTGGTGAAAAGGTAATGGCTGAATGTCTGCCTCTTATAGACTGAGACTTCAGATTGTTTAAACTAGAGTCAAAACTGGATGTAATTCAGTAGAAAAATCAGTTGAATTTTATGAACAATCTGAAGGAAAGGCAAATTAATTGAATGAATGCCTGAAGTGTAAACCACTTCAGTATCAGGTGTATTATAACCTATTGCTCTGCCTCTTATTTTAGGATGCTAGCATAACTCTTGAAAGTGAAGTAGTCTACACAAAATAGTATATTAAAAGTCCTTATTAGCTGCCAAAAGCATTAGACTGAATTGTATTTTCGCCTGAGGTTGTCACGTGGTTCTGTAAAGCAAGAGGGGAATGAACACTGAAGAGTTTAATCTTTGCTTTGATGTATTTGAAATTGAGGAGGATTTTGAGGTAAATGAAGAGGTGTACAAGAAACCCTTAGGAAGAGCCCATTAATGCTTCTAATGTAGCCTCAAATTAAGCTCACAGTAACTGTTAAATATTAAGTTCTAATGAGAAATCCAAAATGCTATCAGCTCAGACCTCTCACTTTTTAGTTTATAATATATGAATATTTATGAAAAATATTAGCAACAGCAAACAAGCAGCTCACAACTGGATAGCCTCTTTTACTTCAACTCTAATGGTTTAAAAAAGATTTTAAAAGACTTATGGTATATTATCAAAGCAGGCAGCTGTTATTCCCTATAAAAACTTAAATAAATGCAGATCTAAATTTACTTGTCTGAAGTTACTGCTGCATAAGACAACAGGAACAGGAATCCAGAACCTCTAACTCCAGTCTAGAGGCCATTTACAATGGTCTGTCATGGCACAGTCACTATCACCACATGGCAAATCTTCTTACTTCACAGCGCAACACAACTACAGCCCGTTCACAGTTCAGCGTTTACCATGACCACTGCAGTCAGCTCAGGAGCTCTCAGGATCAGCCTCTCAATTGTGAAGTCTTTTTCAAATGTACAAAAAAACCATAAATAAATATGGCACATTCAAACTTTCATCAGGATTCTTTTTCAGGATGTAGGTGCTACCACAAAACACACACATATTTTCATTTCCTACATATAACACCTTGTTACCTTGTTAACCATATTTGCACATACAACGCATAATATTTTCACTTAAAAACTGTTCGTTTTGAAAGGATGAATGTTGAAACAACAGTAACTGCCTACTAACCTTTGCCAGGTCCACCAAAGTGTTGGCTTGATCATTCAGTTTCCTTTGTTCCATTTTTACACTTCTTAATCTAAAAAGTGGAATTTTAAGTCAAATTTTTTTCTTTGTATGAGGTCATACTAGGATTTCTAGAGAGCATGCACAAAACTTACAAGAGCAAATAACTGCATGGACAATGCCTTGACTACTTTGTGTAGAGTCAGAATCTTTAATGTGCCTGCTACAATGAGAAGCATGCTTCTTCAACACCGCAAAAAAGGAAAGAGCAAGGAAATGTGATGTCCTTGAGAATACCATTTGCCATGGTCAAAGTTGAATTCAAAAAAGAAGATAACAATTTATCCAGACTACATGAAAGAAAGCCAAAACATTCCTCAAAGCCTCAGTATCGTGACAAGTAGATATAGGAAGAAACATAGAACAACAGGTTTTGGTCATTATTGTTGTAGTAATCAAGAATCTTCCCATGCCTACATGACTAGATACAGGTATTAGCCCTGTTCTGTCGGAAATGGATTGGGTTAGCAGGTGTTGGAACCTGATGAACATACAGTGATAAGTGAGTTTCTCCTTTAAACAGAACTTCCATCAGACCAGCAGCTAAATAACCAACATGCTTGCCAATACATTTGGATTTTTCAGATAATTTGTGAATCTAAATATGATTACCTTTTAAATTGACATCATTCTTTTTCAAAGCACTATTTAAACTACAGCACTGAAAAGCTAAGAAAGAAGCAGCAAAGGTATATTTGTTTCTTTGATGTGTACCTATCTGCATTATTGTTGGTTATGCACATTTTTGGCAAGATACATGACCCTTTGTATGCATTCTCTGATATGAACACCATGTTTTTCAGATTACCTACTAGAGGAGTGGTTTGTAGATTCCATTTTCACAAATAGGCAATTTCTCCCTTAAGTATGATTAATTTGTTCAACATCTCATAATAGATCCATACCTGGACTTTCAATGGCTTTTCTGGGTGTTCTAGAGCAGGAAATAGGGTTTGCAAAACCAAGGTATCAATTTATATACAATGTGTGATAAGGCACCACTTCAGTCTACCAGTCTGCCAAGGGCCTACCAAAATTACAATTTGCTTAGCTGTCAAATGGAAGTATGGCAGCATTTTGTGACACGTGGGTTGCTAACGCATTCTCTGCCCATTTCTCAGTGAGGGTACTACTTAGAAAGCTAGTTTAAAGAAAACCTTGAAGGTAGTCCAAAACCAGAAATTTTATTTCATGTCTTTAGTTTACAAGCAATTCCTTTCATATGTAGTCTAACCGGTATGAGAAAATAAGTTGTGGAGAGTGAAGTATCATTTAAAAATATCTTTAAAATATAAATGGAAATAACTCTGTTAAGGTAGAAATGAACTGATCACATAAAACTGGCATTCCAGGAGGTTTGTTACTGGAATGCCATATGCTCTTCTTTCCCTGGAAGCTTCTTTCAGAGCACAGCATAGATGTAGATGGTATGAGTGGTGTTTTCACAGGCTACAAGGTGGAGTTTTTCTAAATCAAAAACTATATAGGAGTCTCCAAGGTACAGAATTATATAATCACAGTGTCAGAACAGAATAATTATTCAAAGGAAATTATTTCACTGGAGAAAGAAAACCCCAGTGTTTTGATGACCATTCTCTCAAATAATTTGCAGAATATGTGCTTTCTGCTTTTCTTAAGATTCACTGAGTCATCTGTTTGACAATCAGGATTTTAATTTTAAATTCCAGGAAGTTCATTATTATTGTAGTACTACAAGTACCAGTTGACACTAACATGATAATTCTTCATAGTAACCAAGCCAACACCTACCATAAGCTGTAAGAATGTAAAGATATGGCAAGTCTTTAGCTGCAGCAGCCGGATTTAAAGAAAACCAACAGACTTTCTTAGTATAATTCATTAAGATAAAATTTTGATTTTATGAACTTCACTTATCACAGAAAAAGATCATGATTCTGGATCGCATTTCCATGGCAGCAATCAGACCACTGAAGTTCACAAATAAAAACTCTATTTTTTGCATGCAGACAGTGGTAAATTCTGCAAGTTTAGAAAGGAACAGCTTGTACAACTTACTTCCGAGCTCTATTTTCATTTTGTTGAAAAAAAGACAAAACAAAAGAAAACAAAGTGTAAAATATACTAAAACAACCAAATGAGCACAGTGGGCTCGATTTAGCAGGTGGAAAGTCCTAGGGAGTTGCTACTTTTGATCAGTAGCTGCCTGAGGAGGCGTCTAACTTGCATTCATGATGAAGGAAGTGCCTTCAAGCCTTCCCATTAACTATCATCTGTAGATTTTCTTTTTCATACAATACATAACATGCCTTTTTATGATTTTACCTTCATCTTATCTAATGTGCATGAGAAGCAGAACACCTAGACCAGCTGAACACATTTCAGAGCTGTGACCATGACTGTCATCATGATAAAGTCTGGTTTCTTTTACGAAATTGGCCCTGAAATGCCACTCTTTTTATTTTTGTCTCCAATGAAATGGTTGGAAGGTGAAGGAGAGGGACCAAACAAAACTTAAGACTCTGGGAAGATGGAAAACTGTAAGTCATTTGAGAAAAAGTGCAAAGATGGAAAGGGACAAAAAATTAATTTGCATCCGTCTAATCAGCTGCAGGAAGAAAGCAAACTGCTAGTGCAATATTTTCTTTCATGTTGCAGTCTTCAGCATATTGGAAAAATTATCTTTCATTTGCTTTCCTGAATACAAAAGTTTTGGGGCTGTAGTGCAAAGTGGTAAAAGAGAGAAATTATTAAGATAGTTGTGCAACCTGGCTGTCACACCTAGGAAAAAATTACTGATGCCACCTTTTTCCCTCCACCTGATTAATTAATTTTTAAGGGAGGTGCAGAACACCCTTTACATCCTGAAAAGTTCTTCTGAGCTTGAGTGATAAAAAAAGCTGGAGATCGAGCCTGCTGTGCTTTATAGATTCTTTTCTGAACATATGTGCTCATACACACACAGACACACAAACACACGCACACACACACAAAATAAACAGTAAAGTTAAAATATTAAGGCACAACCTTTGCAATCAAGGATTCAAGTCCAGCAAAGATGCACATGACATGCTATCCTCTTCCCAGAACCCTTCCACTCCCCTCCACCTCCCAATCCTTTAAGCTAAGCAGGATGGCTAAATTACTATATACAAATATACTTCTTTATAGTCACATAAAAATCCCTCAACTTCTATTGTATTTTTATTCCTCAAAGTATCTCCACAATAACACAGTAACATTTAAATCTGCAAGTTTGCTAAACATAATACAGTAATCAAGGTTTACAGTGTACTTCACAACTTAAGCTTAGCTACTTACTGCTTCAAAATTATGAAATAGAGAAAGATGGTTAGTCTAAATTTACTAATAGAAAATGAGTAAACCTGGACTTTCCTTCCTGTCTTTCCTGTAAGATGCTACACAGATGTTCTTTTCATCATAGATGCTTCCTTCACAGCTCTTCCCTGGTTGTCTCAGACACAGGCCTACGCTATAACTGATGGTTATGAAACCATCAGTTTGAAAATAAACTTAATTAATTTACTTCTTCCCTGTAACTCATGAGAACTATCTTCATAGGCTATACAAATGGCTGCCTCAGGCTGAATAGGGATAACAAATAGAACAGACAAACACTGACTGACCATTCCTCAAAAGAATTCTGGTTCCTGAGGACAAAAAGGTTCCTGAGTTTTTTTTCCCCTCTCATGCAGTTCAAGAATAGTAACCATTGTGCAATTCTGCTCATTTGGATGTGCTTTATGACAAATACATACTGCAAATTTTAGATAAATACTCGTAGTTTGGCAATACCATAGCACAGCTTAATCCTACAACCAGTTTTAGGTCTCAGGCTTGTTTTCAGACTCTCAAGTAGAGGGGAAGAACTCATTTGAATAATGCCAGAGATGCTCAATAGTCTCAACTATTGGCATACAGTCCCATTTTCTAGAACAGATGGCAGGGGTTATAGCTGACATACCAACATTTGATTTTGTGCACTGACAATATGCAGTGGAGAGAGGCAACTAAATGCTGGTGGGCTATGAAATGATACTTGATGAATATTCTTTTCATCAAACACTTCATACATACTCTCTTCTATCACATCATTCTGATTTTAAGATATTAAAACATCTACTACAAAGAAATTTTTTTTGTTTTGCTTTGATTTTTTTTTTTTTTTTTTTTTTTTTTTTTTTTTTTTTTTTTTTTTTTTTTTTTTTTATTTTTTGTTGTTGTTTGTTTCTTTTTTTTTCAGTTAATTTAGGAGCAAATTCCCCATGGATTTGTAAAGTGTTTCAGTAATGTTCCCTGCTTTATTCTCTATTTCTTCTCTAATAATTTTCAACACTCAATTTGCTTCTTCACAANTTTTTTTTTTTTTTTTTTTTTAATTTCCCTCTGTCTATTGTAGCTCACATCTTTCTACCTGGAAGAAAATGCACAAAGGATGGTCTCAGTGGCATAGAACAAAAAAATATTGATAATTCAAGAAGTATAGGAAGAGTCCAAAAACCATTGACCAGTTTATATGGACATAACTTGCCAGTGTACCTTTTTATTTTATTGTAAACACATAATACAGTAAATGCTTATTTTTGTCTTACTCTGAAAGAAAATAAAACTCCAGAACAATCTTCTATGAAGGGAAGGGAATAGTGAGGGGAGAGGAGAGAGGGGGCCAGATGATATTAAGAGTGACTGAGAGAGAAGGAAACTACCAGCAAAAACACCTTGGGAGGGAAAAGAAAGCAAAATAGTACTTACTGATGAATAGCTTGCAAGAATTTGCGTTGATGTTTCCTTACTTTTGCATGGTCTATTTTTTTAACCAGCTTTGTGTTTTTATAAATTAACCATGTTTCCCTGAGTACATTGGCCGCTGCATTTTTCACCTGTTTAATAAAAGAAAAAAAATAGGCTGACAAAAGTAGAATAATCTTATGTTTTCACTTTTCTGTTATTAACTCCTCCTAGAGCTTTTGAAATGCTGTCTTAACTGTGAGAAGTGGGTACCTCAAGAAGCTGCAGCACTGAGGGAAGAAAGCAACAACTGGATTAAGGGGACTGCTGAGTAGTTTCCTTTTTATATAGATGTGATGTTCAGATCAAGTATTTTTGCGTCCAGGAATAGTTTTCCATCTTCAAAGAGTTGGAACTGTTTGGTGTTTATGGCAATATAAATTACAGTGAGAAAATACTATTGCATTATCTGTACGTTAATTAAATGTATTCAATAGGAACATAATCTTTCTCTCTTTCTTGTTCTTGTTATCACTTCTTAATTCTCTTAGCATTAATGGTCTTTTAAAATTCCAGAGCTGTTTGAGCACTTTGTCCTTTTTCTTGGCTTTCCATAAGATGTTAAGAGAACCTATAGTTCTCTTATTAGGTCCTCCAAAATTTTCACGAATGCTTAAAAACATACAAATAATTTGAATGCAATATTGATTAACGGCTGAATGACTAGGCTACTTGGAAATAAAAATTGTCCTAATTATTCACCTTTATTTTCTCTCCCTCCAACTTTATATCATGCCAGTCACTGCAGTGTCAGAGCTAAGTCAATGGCTTAGACATTGCAGGAATGTCATGCAATAGGTTGGCCCAGCAACAGGCCCCCCTACCTTGCACCTGTAAGTGCTGGAGGACCTTCTTCTGTCTTTACTGAAAGCACAACCATGGTTTAGAGACCTCCTCACAATCCCTAAGTAGCCCTTGCATTTCCACAAGGTATGGCTACCATCAGGCTGTGCGGAAAGCTCCCAGCATCTGCATGATTTGTGATCTGATGTGCATCTTGAATTTGTTTGCTTGGCTCACTTTTCAAATGCTTTGAGTTTCACAAGATTAAAGCTCTGAAAGCACCACCTGGATAAAGTATTAGATTAACGTTGAGATTTATATGAAGAATAGATGAACAAATGAACTTTAATATGCATAAATAAAGACTAGACTCAAAATCTGGCCAATCTCTGAGACACATTTTGGCCTCAGATATCAGATAACACTAGAAAACTAACTGTGTTAGGAAGGAAAAAACTGTTTTCTATCGTCTAGTATCAACACCTTAACTGACTCCAGTAGGAATGTAAATCAACAAGCTCAGAAAGACACCTTGTCAGACACCCTTTATACCTATATAAGACCTGTCTTCCCACATTGGCTCTTCTCAGTAATGAAGACTGAACGAGTTGAGTGGACTGTACAGCTACTACTCATGTTTTTGTTTCCCTAACACTGACCTGTTTTATTCAGCAAAGGATTTGTATTGCCTTGTTTGCTGTATTTTCTTTCATTTAAAATATTTCTACAAATATCAATGATTCTTATTTTGTGAAAAATAGGTACTTCTAAAAATAATATACAAATATCTTTCAGAGTCCTTTGGTACTGTATACCACTAAATAAACCATGTGTTGTGTACAAAAAGAAGTTGAAAGACTGCCCCACTGCTCCTGTTCATATGTTGTCAACATATGAAAATATATGTTGTTGTCTTAAGAACATCTCTCATAGCTTGAAATTTTTGTTTTTATCTATCATTTCACCTATTTTAATTACAAAAAATATATTTGCATATACCACACAAAAGCTTTTGGTTTAATATGATGGTTTAGTTTTACAGCACTTAACTGCTAATTAACTCATTCACACCAAATACCTTCCAGATACAAGGGCCCTCTATACAATATTCTATACAAATACTTAAAATTTGCTGACAACTTGCAATTACCCTCAATTTAAAGAAAAACTCAAGGCATCCAATTTCTAATCTTTCAAAATAATACCCATGATAAAGTTCAGCAAGGATACCAATCAGGAGACTACTTAAAAATAAATGCAGAAATAAATTAATACATAGTATTCCTTTTCAGCTGTAACTTTAAAATGTGACTTACTCTTTTAGTTAGCTGGGTGTCCATCATGAAATTATGCACATGTTTCTCAGCTTTGGTAAGTTCTAACTTCCTTGCCACCACAGCTACCACCAGTGCAGTGCACCCAGCACCCTGAAAACAATAAAACAAATGCCCAAGATGTTATTACTGCATTTTGCATAGTTTTTAGAGGAAGTTTCTCCTTTCCTGTAGAAGTGTAGCAGGCATCAGGTGATTCATCCCAGTTAAATACAGTGAACACGCTACAGTTGTTTCATTTCAGAGTATTACGACAAGTCAGTATTTACAGGCTGGTAAATTATTAAGGCACCAAAATAATTAGTGACCAGAATGACTTAAAAGTTCTGTTGTTTTTTTTTTTTTTTTTTCCCACAGAGGGTGAAAATTTCAGCATATCCCATATCTAATGCATAAACAAAGGGGGTGATAAAAACAACTTTTTAATCCCAGTAATAGAATACCCTATTCTTAAAATTTTTCTCAAGGTTACAATGACTACTAAAGAGGAAATAAGATTAGATTAGTATTTAGCACACACACACACGAAAAAGAAAAGTTTCTTAGGATTATCTGCAGGGCCTAAAAATAATAGTAAAATTAGTATTTATTCACTCTAGATATTTTCACGTTGTTCTGAATCCTTCAGTGATCTTTTCCAATATTATTCCTGCTTATATTATTACCATATAAAATAGAACACATACACAGGACCATATCTTCAAAACTTGGACAGAGGAAATAACAATTTTCTCATTCATGCTGTGTATATATATGCACATGCATATATACACGTGGACATGCATGTGCACAACAGGCAAATTCCAGAAGGTGCCTTCTCTTTGTAATGACAGTGGCTTTATCAGCATCACAAATTCAAATGCTTATTTATGGGGCAGGTTAAAGAGAAAGGAGGCTAAAATAAGCCAGGTAATAAAAACAGTGTCAATTTTATACATTGATAGGTATCATTTACTTTACACTATAAATTGTTCTGCCTGAATATTTTGTTTTAATAAACAAATTTTTACAGCTTTTTTTTTTTTTTTAAAGTATAAATATTAAATATATGAGGCTACATTTAACTTGCAGGTTCATTCCCATCTAGCTCTTATTCACTTCTGTTACCATTCAATATAAAGCAATCTCTCATTGCTTCTCATTTAAGCGTAGCACGTTTTGATTCACAGACCTTTCTTCTAGTCATTCTGTATTTCTCCCATAAACTTATTCTCTATCCCCCACATCTATAACTGCCTTACCCTCTCCAGAAAATCCAGAAGAAATCTCAGAATTTAGTTTTCAAAATACAAAATCCATTAATAAAAACATAGAGAGTGCAAAATAAATTAACTCATTGGAAACTCCTTTTCCACACAGAATCCTTAAAAAACTGGATCTTGTCTCTCTATGTACTTACTGAGGCATGGAATGAATTCAGTGAAAGCCTTCAATTAATAATTTCTCCATTTCCCTGGTAGACTGTTCCAGAAAGTTCATCCAATTATCTTCTCATTTTCTCCAATTAATTCTCATCTTCCAACCTCAACAACTCTCAGCATTCCTTCAAATGAGTCCCTCATAATTTTGTTTCATTTCCTGCTTCTTCCTTGTCCTTGATACTAAGCCTTTGTTTTTCTCTAACTCTCTGTTGTCCAGTCTTGTGACAATAGACGTCAAAAGAATTTACTTGTAGTTTTGCTCCTTCCATGAGTCAAAATGGTCCTAAAAGTTCTTCTGCTTCTCTAGACTCCATTAACACTTTAAAAGAAAGAATACAGCCCACACAGCTTAAGGCTAAACAATTCAGAAGCTCATTGAGCCTCTACTGAGAAGAGGACAAGGCAGAAGATGCTCTAACACATCCTACATCCCCAGAAAACAGACAGTGCTCTTTAGGTCTTCCTCCTGTCAAGGGAAATGCTAATATGCAGAAGACTTCTCTGTAGGCAAATAAATTAATAAATTACCCCATGTAATAACAAGGAAATGAAGATAAAAGCAGACATCTTTTGGTTCAGTCATATCAGGAAAGCCAGGGCCAGGTGTTGATTTAATGACACAACCAGAGTTCTGCCTGCTCACAGCAAGAAAGTTAGAATGGAAATGAGCTTATTAATATAGAACCCTGGCACAAAACACTTGTTTAATTTCTCTCCTGGGGGAGAGAAATACTAGATGGTTCTTTCCCAACCCTCCTCAAAAAGGCTAGAGGAGTCGTGGCAGGCAAAAGAGGCAAAATCATTCCAGCCTTTGTGATTGAGTCCCATGCTTTTTCAATGTGGCACAGTAGCTGTAAGGGCCAAACGATGTCAAAAGTAGGAGTTTTATGTCTCACATAAAATATACTGCCTGCAGTGTCACCATACTGTCACTGGTGAGCAGTGACAACCACTTCTATGGTGTATGTGCACTCCTATCTTCCTCATCTCCAGAACAGCTTATTGTGATGGCAAAGTATTCTAAAGTCAGTTTAAACCTCTTGGTTTTGTGGCAAGAACATGAGTTCTTCTAGTGTTTCTTCAGAAGTAGGAAGTATTATACTACCTGCATGTTTACATTTCACATTACTGTGAAGGAAAAATAATCACTCATAGCAGCTTACAACAATGACTAAAATTGCACTTAAACTGCATGTTCATGATTAATATTACACCAACCTGCAGTATTACATGGTTCCTCTAAAGAGCTCTGCATCCTTAAAAGTATTAATGAAGTGAGAATTATTAAAAATTGCAGAAATTAAATGGAGGAAATACAGTTGCTTTAAAAATGGTAGCATTGTGTGTATGATACTTGCCATGTTTTCTGAATATGCTGGATTCATAGGAAAATCAGTAGGTCAGCTTATATGCCCAGTGTCCAGTTTGTCATATCAGTACTATGCAATGCATCAGCTACTTATTTATTAAAATTACTCAACTAAGTAAAAGCACCAATAATTATTTCAACTGCAGGACAGGTTTTATAGAGAATAAAATTCTACAAAGTCTTATGTTTGACTACTCTATTAACTTTCAACATCAGCATTTTTATCCAGTTTTGAAGTAAATAATAATATAAATCATTGCTTCAAGCTCTTGCTCAGGAGAATTATATGTAAGATGAAGAAAATGAAAAAGGCAGGACCATATGTATTTTCAGGTATCAAAGCATTAATAAATTCTATCTGGAATTCATAGTCCTTAATCAGCTGCCTGAGCATCTCCTGCTTTACAGAGTTATCGCAGTGTATTTCGGCTTGGTAAGCAGCCTGGTTTCAAAGGCACTTAGGACAGAAATTATTACAACACATGCAGTGTAAGCAAATTGATCAAGCTAAGGCTAAGGTTTGACTACATTGTTCATCTGCTCTACTTAGTGGAAACAGGTAATAACAGAATTAACCATACATTAATTTGATGGTGTTCAAGTACTCTGTGATCAAGTATTTGCCAGCAACCACCCATTTTAAAAGCTGATTTTGATACCAGAACTCTTCTGTTTTCCAGAAAACATGTACAAGCTGAATGAAATTATCTACTAAAGCATGAGAAGCTCTTAAAGATCACAGATAGAAGAATAGGCAAGATTAGGACTCTGCTGATGAGTCGACTAATGCCTATTTCCTGTTTGCAAGGATCAGAAGATGAAGCACATGAATTTCATCCTGAACACACAGCATTTCTTACTTGATATGACATGTAGCATATTTGTCTACAATAAAGCAAGAAGTCTGAACTGAAACATATACACAATCTTTCAGCTGAACAAACTCTGGATTTTACAGCGACATCAGATCTCTGATGGTGATGTAGAATTTGCATTTATGAGCAGCACAACCTCTAGCATAAGTTTCACAACCATTTACACAGGAAAGAACTTGTCTTGACTGTCAATCTATTTAGCTGTTGTCCCTTATGAAGACAATTTGATGTGACTGCAAGCAACTTGAGGACATTCTTTTTGTCTTTAATTCTAAGTACACTCTTCCTGTTAAGGACAAAGAATGACACTTAAAGCTCAAATGTTCATTTAGGTCACAAGTCTGTGAAAGCCATTCACCCCTCTAGCCCTCTTTGATGCCTAAAATACAAAGTGAGTTTCCCTGATAGAAATGTAAGTGGAAGTAAATGTTGGCATTTTACTCAAATATGGTTAGGCAGTTCTTAAACACTAGTAGGATAATAATTTTCTCTGTTACATAAGCCTAAATGATGACTGATACACCTTAAAAAAATTAATGGAAGGATAGTTTCAATTGAGTGGGATAAAATAATGTCATCAGGCATTAATGTCAAGCCTATGCTATTTGAAAAGAGAACAAACATGAAATTAATTGTATTTTAAGTTATACTTCAAATTTAGCAACTGAATGTGACATTAATTTAACTTAACCATGACCCTCAGAAAAACGCATAACTATTACTTGGTGTTGTCTTTCACTTTACTTTCAGGCATCATAAATTACAACTTTCCATATTTTCCGCACAGTCTTTCTCTTGGCACTTACTTCTGAATTATTGCAAGCCTCCTTTCAACTGCTTTAACAAAGAAAACTATGTCTTAGACACATCCGAGATTGCTGCAATGGTTATTTTCTTTGCCTGTCATTCTTAAAATGTTACACTGCTACGTGACGATGTAGTCTCTTCTCTGGGGCATTGTATACAGAGCATTTGCCCTCAGTTGCAGTATTTTATGACTTCTCATCGATTTCAGCTCTAGCAAGACCTTTCAGACAAGATTCTTTGCATCACCTGTTTACTTAGTAAAAGCTCCCTAGAAACATATAAATCTAATACATAGTTTTGTTTTAAAACCTTCCCCTTCTTTGTGTAGGATTTTACTTACTACACAGCCTAGCAAAACCAGTGAAGGTACATCAGATTCTGGTATGCCAAGATCACTTCTACTGACCCTACATAATTCCTCCTTGTTTCTCATTCTTTTTGCTCTGTGGAAATGCTATGCCCATCAGTAATTTGGACCATGTATTTCTATTCTCTTTATACAGTACTGGTATCAATAGGATTAGGAGTCCTGAAAGTCTACAGGGATATAAATAAGAATTGATAAAGACAGTAGGTCTGTATTACCCAGTTATAGCATGTACACCATACTAGACCTGACTT